CAGATTTATAAAAAGCATCTTGGAAGTTTTTTAATACAGAAGTTTCAACTGGTTCAGTGGCTTGTTACCATGGTCTGCCAAATTGCAAACAATTAATCATTTACAGAATGTTTTCAGTAATGTGTTTATATTTTCGAGGCTTTTTGTTTACGTAGGCATCGATTTGAGGTCCAAGCGTAAAAAAGGTTACATTGTAGAAGCTTATAAGTGTGAAGGTCTAAGTTTGACTTTAGTAGGTGACGCCATCCATTGACATCAGGGAGCAGATAAAAACAACGAATCGACGTTGACTACAAACTGTGCGTCACTTCTCAATGCGACGTCATATTTGTATCTCTAATAATGATGGTAATAATGGATAAAAAAATATCTAATTTGTAGGAAAAGAAGGCTCCTTTTTAATTAGTACGTAATTAATATAAGATAAATTTATATGTAAAAATAACAATATGTTGGTTGGAGTTTGTTTGTTTGTAACACTTTATTGCACAATAAATACATTTAAATTAACTAAAGATACAACGATCTTAAAAAAATATATATAAGATGTACAATGGCGGACTTATCCCCAAATGAGGGATTTCTTCCAGTCAACCTTTGAATGACTGAAAGGAATTGTGGAGGGGTGGGACTATATATATACATGACAATAACAACAAAGGAAAAAGAAGCAAACGCATTATATAACTATAATATATAACAACTAGAATATTAAATAAATATTTATGTATAATATATAAATACACATACCTACATATATATAAAATAATAATAATAAAATAACAAATGTATAAATAGTAACAGCAGAAATATATAAAAAACAATATTACTATATAAAAATGAATATGAAGAATACTAAAATAGCGCATCTGCAGTGTGACTCCAAAGTTTTTTAAGGCGAGTCTTAAAAAAGTAAACCGATGAAGACAATCTGACCTCCGTTGGCAAAGCATTCCAAAGTCGAGCAGACTGTATTGTAAAGGAGTTAGTGTAACAATGACTCGTATGACACGGTATTGCCAAAACTAGATTATGACTGGAACGAAGACGGTCATCAGTCCGTAACCGGAATTTTTCCTGCAGGTACATGGGCGAACTAGAGTTGTAAAGGATCTGATATAAAAGGGTAACCAAATGGATGTTACGACGGTCACGAATAGGAAGCCAATTAAGTTGCTTACGATAGACAGAGACATGATCAAACTTACGTAAACCGAAGATGAATCTTATGCAGAGGTTTTGCAAGCGCTCCAGTTTATCAAGTAACTCTACTGAAGGATCTAGGAAAGCACTGTCGGCATAGTCCAGCAAGGGAAGAAGAAGAGAGTGGGCTAGCAGCAATTTAGTACGCAAAGGCAGAAAAAACTGAAGGCGTCTAAGCGAGTGAAGAAAAAAGTCTACGACTTATCTCACCAATGTGAGGCCCCCATGAGAGAGTCTGATCCATGATAATTCCCAGGTTCTTCACAGTAGAAGAGAAAGGAATGTGATTGCCATCGTAGACAACATGAGGAATATACACAGATTTTAGACTACAGATGTAGTGATGACTGCCAATAATAATAGCTTGGGATTTATTTGAAGAAGAACATTGAGATTAAGAGAATGAAGTAAAGAGAGTAGCGTATTGGAGCGGTGATCATTTTTGATTAGGCATGTATTAAAATCACCCATAATAATGAGATGATCGAATTGAGGCCTCAACTCTGTAATGATGCCTTCAAAGGAGAGAAAATAATTGACGTGAAGGGACGGACTATAGTAAACGCCTAATAGTACTTTCGAGTGATGCAGGATAATTTTGAGGAATAAATGTTCAGGTGCATTATGATCTGGCGGAGACTGTGACACTATATCAAAGGCAATATCATCACGCACGGAGTGTTTATATTCGATAATTTATCATAATTGTATAAGCTACTTTTAAGTCTACTTAGTTAAATCAAGTTTCACGTGGTTAAAATTCCATGAATCATAGAAAAATAACAAAAAGTTACTAATGATATAAATATTTATATTTGTAACTAGCCTTTGCCCGCGGCTACGCTCGCGTTAACTTATCCCCTTAGGGGTGGAATTTATCAAAATCCTTTCTAGGGGATGCCTACGTCATAGTAGCTTTATAATAATGTATTTATTATCAGGCTTAATTGCCCACTTTGTTAGTATTACAGATTTCTTATAATTAATGTTAGTACGTACAGACTACAGACACAAAATACACACACAAAAATAATAATAATACAAATAATATCAAAAATTAATATTAAATTAAGTTAAAATATAAATTAAAATACATTCACATATAAATCAGTATAAAAATCACCGCTGTACCATTCCATTACAAATAGTACAGCAGTGATTAACATATGCACAGTCCAGCCTCCCCGCAATCATGCTCAGGATGCTGTTGGTACTGGCACGTACCCTCCGCACCAGGGATGCGCATCTTTTCCGCATTGTAGCATAAAAACAATCCACACGGTACTCCGCGAACATCCCTGATGCACTGCAGCATCGCGACAGCCCCATCAACACCCTGAATGCGTTGTTATACTGAACGCGAAGCCCGCTGTAGGACTTTCGGGTGTATGCAGCCCACAGATTGCAAGTGTAAAAGGATGTACAAAATGATCTAAACAGAGTGATCTTGACATCCCTAGAGCACCGCGCAAATCTGTGCGCTATCATATTCGCCCTCACCGCCAGCGCTCTCCTTTCTCGTTCAATATCATCGTCATCTCTAAGGTCAGAGTTCAACAGATGTCCCAAGTATTTAAATTTATACACCCTTTCCAGCGCCATTGAGTTTGACTTCGGGAAAAACATCTGTATTATTGCCTCTGGCCTCGAAGACCACGACTTTACTTTTTATTGCATTATAAACCAGACCGTGCCGACGCGCATATGACTCACAGATAGCCATGAGTCTTCTAAGTCCACATACTGACGCACTCAGAAGCACCATGTCGTCCGCATAACTTATATTATTTACATTTACACCGTCTATATGACAGCCGACATGAGTGCTACCCAATGCAACTATCAGTTCATTAATATACAGATTGAAAAGTATCGGCGACGACAACCCCCCTTGCCTCACGCCACACTCCAATCTGTATGACTGTGACATGGTACCCGCCCATCGGACGCTGTTGGCCTGATTAGCATACCAGTATTTGTGGATATTTATGAGATCTGGTGGCAAATTAATTTCCTCAAGCTTTTTCCACAAAATATCATAAGAAACCAGATCAAATGCTCTTGACAGGTCTAGAAAGCATGCATGGACTGGCGTTTTCCGATTAGTATAATATCGGACGGCATGCTTCACACACAACACTGCATTTTCAGTTGACAATCCCTTTTGAAAGCCAAATTGATTGTCCTGTATTTTTATATGTTGAGTCAACCTAGAGTTAAGCATGCCGTCAAATACCTTCGAGATAACTGTGGCTAGAGAGATGGGTCTGTAGTTGTTTTTATTTGATACATCACCAGATTTATTCTTAATTATAGGTATCACTACTGTTTTCATCATCTCTTCTGGCATATATGAGTGACTGATACAAAAATTAAAGAGCATAGCCAACAGTCGCGAGAGGTGGGGACCCGCATGCTGTAAATGCTCAATACTGAGACTGTCATGTCCAGGCGACTTACCTCTAGTCATGGATTTTATGATCAGGTCTATTACTTTAGCATTACATCTAATTTTCACCTCTTGGCCAGACTCAACATTAAGCATAGCACGCGATGGCCCCAATGACGATTTAATCGTGAAGTGATCCCTAAAAAGATTAGCTATATCCCCGGCATTGCTAACACCGTCAACACACACGGGAATGGTCGACTTTGAATTTAGCTTCTTCGTGGCTTTCCAGAATGAACGGAAGTCATTTGTTGAATGATGAGATGCCAGAATATCCATTTTTATTTGCTCTTGATGGTTTTGACACCACCTAAGACGTTTCTTAAAATGTTTTCTGGCCTCACACATATCATTGTAAAATATACCGCTATTTGGTTTACCATAATGACACCAAACATGGAATTTATGTCTCGCGTTCTCGTGTGCTTCGCCAACGTGTTTGTTCCAACCTACTATAACCCTCTTCTTACGCCTAACATATTTAGGGCTTTTACAAGTCACAGCCGCTCGTCTTAGTACATTTACTATATCGTTATACAAGTTATCTATTGTTTGTTTATGTTGTAAAATATTACATGTTCGATCGGCACAGTTATAGAACTCAGGTGGAAAACCGAAAGTTTTTAATTGAGTGTGACAGTTATTATAATACGAGTCTATTTGATCTGTGCTTCTTTCACCCCATACTACATTATTAGGTACGGATTTTATTTCATGTATTTTAGGTGAGAGAACATCTAAATTACATTCTACAATTAACGGAAAGTGGTCAGACCACAGTATGTCATACTCTATGTATATATTACATACGGAGGCCACGGCCGCTTTAGATACTACACAGTGATCTAACCATCTCTGTGACCCGTGAGCCTCACTCACAAAAGTAAAACAGTTAGATACATTTTTTAACATATCTACATCTATACAAGTCCATTCTTGTTCATCACAAAACATCGACAATTCATTAAAAAATAATTCGGTGGGGTGCGCATTAAAGTCACCTAAGATGTAGACACAGTCAATATTACTATTGTCTATGATTGCACTTACCGAGCCGAGGACGTCCGTAAATTCTACTAAGTTTGCGTATGCGTCGGTAGGCATATACACACTTATCACTAAGACTGACCGCTCACTTAACAATAGTTTTATCGCACTTATACGCGGGTTATCACATGGCACTACCACGACATGGGGAAATACACTGTGCCGCCAGAGAATCGCGACTCCACCGTGTGGTCGCCCGCGTAGCATCCCCGCCGTCGTATCCACTGCCGACGTCCCAGTGGAGGTAAACTCATCATCAATGCTGCTTAAATATAACAAATCACTGGGCAGTAACCATGTCTCTTGTAGAGCAACTATATCAGACAGTTTACAGAGCTCACGAATCCCATTTATAGAGCGCTTAGCACTCTTACAATTGAAGCTAGCAAATTTGTAGGTTGTACTATCTATTATTTTGATTTATAGTGCCGTTATGGGAATTATGAGTATTCCCAGTCGAACTTTTTGTTTTAAAATGCACGAAGCGTCGAAAAATTATGCCTTTAGGCCACAGTTTCTCATCTAAAAATAATTGTTCTTTAGATTGCGCAACAAAGAACTTATAAGCATCATATTCACTTTTCCTTTTCATAGTAATCTTCTCTAGATTGACAGTTTCATTGGTTTTACTGTAGATATAATTACTTATGTCTGATTTTAAAGTTCCCATATGCACATTCGTAATAAAAATAGGTATTTTTCTATCAGCTGCCCTAAATTTTTGTTCAGGTTCGATATTGCTATTGCCCATTTTTCCAGTGAAACGTATATTTTTGTATGGTTTTTTATTTCGTACTAAAGTCCATTTCTGTTTCGCTTTGCTATCTATTACTTCGCTCGCATTCGACTTCAATACGTTTGCATAGGTGCAATCATTACTTGCAACAGTCTGATCGAAGCGCTCTTTAGCAAGCGTAGGCGATGACGCATAGTTCTCACCTTCCGCACCGTTGCACCGTGAGTCATAGCGCACTTCGTCCCCTTCTCCGCGCTTCTTGCCGCCGTCGCCGCCGTCGCCACTAACACCCAGCGGCGACAACAATGTTGCATTCAGTTCGGTTATTTCTCTACCCTCCATCTGATTTATATTATTGTTTTGGTATTTTAAACTACTATTATTCGCGGATATTGCACATTGAGATATATTATTCTCATCCGTTAATGCTGAGTCATTGAGATGAGGTAAACCAATTGGCCCGCTGTCCTCATATGCAGTTCCTCTCTTGATATTGATGTTATGTACAGAAAATGGTGTTACAGCTCCTATCGTTGTATTCTGTATCTGGTTCTTTACGACCTCAAGCTGATTCAGAGTTACGTAGGACGATTTTATTTCCTTAATCTCGGCCTGCACCAGTAGTAGATCCTTGAGTAATTTAGAGACATCCAAATGATCGAAAGTTATTGGTGGTAATTTCTCCAATTCACGAGCAACAAACACTGGCATTATATCAGGGTCTGCGACTTTAAATAGGCTGATAATATCCTTTAACTCCCGATTTTCTCGGCCTTGTCCCTTACGTGGCTTTTTACGATGATCAGCTGATAGCGATTCAAATAATAACGTTTTAGCTTCATTTATTTGATCACTATTAAATGAAGACAAACAAATTTTCACCAGGCTCTCTTCATCCACGATTGAGATTTTATTTTGCACATATGCTAACAGTTCGTTAATAACAATATTGCAACTTGCACATTTTACTGTTGTCGTCATTTTGTACTACGCGAACGCATTCAAAATGCAACCGAAATCACGAGCACCACAGAGCAATGCGCCCGCGCGATTGTTTATGCATGCAAAGTCTCAGCCCGATCGATTTAAAATTGACAAAGTTTCATTCAAACTTTCATCCCCTATTTTATCCCCTTGGGGGTAGAATTAATCAAAATTCTTTATTAGCGGATGCCTACGTCATAACATCTACCTGCATGCCAAATTTCAGCCCGATTCGTCCAGTGGTTTGGGCTGTGCGTTGATAGATCACTATGTCAGTTACCTTTGAGCTATATATTTAGATTTTGCCATAACCGTAACACTTAATATTTTTTTTTAAAAGCAAAAAAAAAACCAACCGGTTTAACTTATAATAACGGTAATTTTTTCAGGTTTCGATGTGTTTACATTATGAACTGATAAGAAAATACCATGCACTTTTCAATTACCTCTCAACTGTAAAATCTAATAGCTAGTACCAGACATCTATTTCGAAGGAATTATTACTTAATTGACTTGATCGAACGTTGGTAATTCGATTACTGATGTGATGGGAACGTTACCGCTGGCACTCGAGTATCGGGAGTCGAGAACTAAATTTCTAATATCAAAACGTACATAGTTTCTTTGTTTCATAATATATTGATAAACTTATATTAAAATCATGATAGTCACACTGCAGGTCAAGGCTCTCATATTATCATTTACATGTGTCTTCATTCTCATTCTTTTACTTGACAGTGCGTGATTAGTTAGTAGTCATTGAACAATTTAGTAACGTTGCATTTAAGTACATTATTAATCTGCCTGTCTATCAGTTTCTATTACGAAGTTCTGGCGTAGTCCCTCAGTATGCATTAATTTGAGTTTTCCTTCTTTTATGCCTGAATCATAACATGTCTGTTAATCTATATTTGGCAGGCACGTTATGGTTTACAGTTCAAATGTGAAGATGTATCTATTCACAATCAGCAACGAATTGAAAATGTCTGATGGTTAGATTAATAGCAGCGTCACGTGCTCGACCCTTTCGCTATGGACCGACGCTAATTAAGAAGTTTCACCCTCGATCGACATAAATTCCGTTACATCAGGGTTGTCGCGAAAAGTTCACGCCGTTAAATTAAATTAGTTTAAAAGACGAATCGGATCTCTAATTTTGAGGCTAAGTCTGAAACGAGCTAAAGAAATAAGCTCAGTAAATTAAAGACGCAGTAGGTAATTAAAAACTTTGTGCCGTTTGAAGTTGTTTCAGATCATGTAGTACGCATCCAGTATGAAAATGGTAATTAATTAAACATGTTCCTTTACGTTTACATTAAATTTCACTGTTCTAATTGAGATCCTTTACACAGCGAAGTATCTAAGTTACAAGGCTGTGAATATTATAAATAGCCTGCCGAAATAAGTATATAACTGGGCTGGTGTTAGTAGCGGGTTATTGCAGTTTTATAGTAGCTTGTGGTGCTATAGTCAGTAACATTAAACTAGTTGGCATAAAAGAATTTAAAGTTACGGACGCGAGTTACATTATTACACATTTTTACAGACGTAATTATTGTTACTTGCTGACGACGTAGCTTTATATATATATTATAGAAGTTTTAAAGTCGATTTCGTTTATTATTCTGTTTTAAACATAAATATCTTAATATTCATTTAGTATCGATGATTTGGATGAACGAATTACTCTTACATGCTAAATTCTTTTTAAAAGTGAAGATATCAATATATATGCAATGTTTAGAGGTTGTTTGGTTAGCAAAAATAACATTAAAAATTAGAGAATTGATACATAAAAAATATTTAGTGGTATTTGGACTTTAAAAACCGATGAAAAACTTAAACAATTACCTTATTTATTTTCTTCTTCTGTATAAACTAATAAGTTTAGAATTCAGTATAAATCTACAAGTACTTTACAATTGTTACAATTGAGATATATAGCATATCTACAATTTCAAAAAGTATATCGTTTTCATTCTCCGGAGCCACTCGTACCTGTTAAAAGCTTAGCGTACAATTTGGGTTGATTGATAGAGTGGTTCATTTATCAACGTCATTTGCCGCATCGACAAAATAAAGCCATCGGTTGGGGCCTGCAGCTCATTCCCGTTGTTTTATTAGCTACTTCATTTTAAGGTTTCGTGGTTTACGGTGTAATAGCCAAATGTAAATTACGGATTTTACCGAGAGATTAATATTTTAGATTGACTAACAATGAAGTTTCGGAGGCATATTCCTTTTTATGATAATGGAGATTTCAGTTATTTAAATTTCTTTGCTAACAAATTGGGTTACCTTATCATAAAGTGTGCCATTTCGACTATCTCTTCAGAATAGACAAAAGCTTTAAAGTTTTTATATATAGGTATGTATAATGCGTTCTTATTCTTAAATGCCTATGATTTAGGAAATTACAGCTATAATGATTTTACAGTAATTGGTTTAATTACCATTTTTTCAATAAATATCTTAAAAATGTTGCTCTTTTCGTATCGTTTAATGTAACAGGCCCCTGAAAATTGGCGTATAAGCATGAAGCTGGAAGGGCGTCTCCAAACTTAATACATATTGTGGTTATATTTTAGGAAAGCTCGTGTTAAACCCCCGACACATGTAAATTTAAAAGTGCTGAGTAAGTACCAGCCTGAATCCATTACGTCGGAAACGTCCGGCCGGTTCCATTTTTTATCAATTACCATTTTCTGTGTTAGCAGCCTAATGTCGTATTAATGCTATTTAGAGACCGCGTCGTTAGCAATTTGTATTGCGAAAAATACGTAATTTTAAGAGAAGTCAGTCCTGAAATATAAATTGACACATTATTTTTATACATGTAATTACCACCTTTTGGGTAAAAGATGCGGTAGTAAATTATTTGCCACGGTATTCTGTTTGTTCTGTCTATATCTATAACTGCTGTAAACTGTACATACAATAATCGAAATTGTGAGTCTTGTAAATGCTAATGTAAGTTGGACTCCATTTTCCGCAATCAGCTTCTCATCTGGGCTGTTGTATGTGTAGAGCTGAGACGACTACTAAAGGAGCCAGCCAAGCTCCTTCCTAAAGCGCAGAAATCTCATGGTGTTTTCATAGACTTCACGGATCTCACCGTTCCGATGATTTGTTTTCGTTGTGACCACTGCTACGCACTCAGGATTATGTGAGCGGCCGTTTCTTCAGCTTCAAAGAATACAGTGCAGGCTTCGGCGACAAAGGGGACTGTCTGTAGTACCATTGTGTATAGGTGTTGTTTAAGGGACAGTGGCCCGTTATTGTCCCTTTTATTATTTTGAGGTTTGCCTTTAGGTTCAGTAGACGACTTGTCAATTGTTGGTTTGCTACTGGAATTATCACTTTTAATTGTTTGTAATCAGTGGTTTGTAAATATCATTGGTTGTAATTACTAAACCAATAGTAATTACAACCAATGATATTTACAATATTATAAAGGAATAAATATTTATGGTCTTCATTTATTGTAAACTCATTTTAACATCATATTATTACTTAAGATATTTAATGTTATGACTGTGATCAAGTCTTGGATAGTTTATAAAGAACTCGCAAAAGCAATAAATATTGTAGACTCGCATACATATATAGAAAACGACACAATTTTATAGCCTGTTACTTTGTTGTGTAAACGCAAGAACTGTTACTGTTTGCTAAACCCATACGTGTGTGTACTTTTGTGGAGCTATAAATAAATCAGAGCTTTTGTAGGTTTTCGTAGCGTATAAATACTAAGAAAAGATTGGGAATATTCTTCAATTTCATGAATGATACATATTTATAAAATGATTGTGATTGTGTAAGAGCAATATTCTATTTTGCGATTTATTTACGAAAATTTTTATTTCCATCTGAGGTTCTGTGAAAAAAAAATTAATGGATTCATTATGGTGCTACTGCCCGTTCTCTATTTCAGCGCTATATTTTAAACACTACTAATACTTACAATGATTGGTCTGAAAAATTAGAAACTTTGAATAATTTTAAAAATAGTTTTATGAGGAATAAATAAAAAAAAAAATAGATTGCCTGAAAGATTGACCTGCTTTGCTAATTCTGAAATGGAGCTTGAATTTCATGAATGTTATGTAAGGTATTAGCTTAGATGAGATATCATCAGTCATCAATATAAATGAATATAAATCCATTTCATTTATGGTTTTATTTAAAAGTTAAACATTATTATATAACAGCATGAATTACAACAATATATACATATACATAATATACATATATATATATATATATATATATATATATATATATATGTTACCCGATATTTAATTACCTAATTGAATCTGATGTGCCGCTGTATTATGAATCACAATAATATATAATTAGATAAGTAATTTTATTAAACCTCCAACCGAAACTATAATCTCCGTATACGAAGACGCTGTAGAGATAAGTAGATACGTAACTGAAGTACTTTCGTTTCGAGAAACGTCGCCGTCTGAGTTGTTCAACTTTAGTCCGACTATAAACTAGAGCTTAGTTCTAGTCGGGTTGGAGCCCTCTCTAGCCGTTTTCAAGATTTCGAGCTCTTCAAACGCTGGGATTGTCGCTTTTCTCGTATGAAAGTGGGTAGTATTATACTTATCTGCATTGTTTATGTGTCTATCTCTAGTCGTAGAACATGTAATAGATTTTCTTATTCTAATGCTGCAGGAAAATGCTGAAAGTCATTATTTTTTTTTACAATCAATATTTCCTTATCATTTCCTGTTATGTAGTTCCCCGTTCTAGACACACACCTACAAGTACATGCCAATCCTGCGACGTACTGTTGATTACTTTATATCTTATTATATAAGATACTTTTATATTTATTTACATTACGTATTATATATTGTCTTTATTCATTATTATTTCACGTTTAATAAATACGATCTTACAAAATTAGATGTTGGTCGTATTCATAAACATACAATGTCAACTACAGAGAGCCGATTCATGCAATGATATTAAATTTTACCTGGGACTTGATTTATGAAACACGGGGAGTAGC